CGCATTCCCGGGGCTGGGGGGTCCCGGGAGCCACAGTAACGCCTTCAGTGAAGGGGAAGCGCAGGGGGGTGAGGGGAGCTCCGAGCACGCGGGACCAGGCAAAAAAAAGCGAATTGTGCTCTTAAATCTCCTCCTTCTCTCCCTCGCCGCTCGGGGCAGAGCACTGGGGCAGATGCCCGTGGTTCTGTGCCGCTCAGGGGTGGGAGGGGTGGATGAGGCCGGAGGAGCAGCCACAGCAGCGGGGTCAGGCGGGAAGAGCGCTGTCGCAGGGCAGTTTCCATCCCCGCGGGATCGCAGGGGCCAGGGCAGTGGGTTTAAGGTCTTGTTTTAAAGCCCTTGGTGCTGCCAGTGTGGCGGGAGGCGGCAGGGCCGGTGCCACCCCCAGGTGCAGCCGTGGGTGCTGAGCCCACACCACGCAGCCACGCAGCGACCTCGGGGATAACGGTGACTGTAAAGTTTTTGTCCTGTTTTGTCTCCCCCCACCCTCGGTGTGAAATAAACCTTCGAATCTCTGCGGTGCCTCCGAGTCTGTGCCGAGCAGAGGGACGCTGCCTCCACCTGCCCGGGGCTGGGGGGCGTATGCCCCTCCCGGGACTGTGGCTGGCAGGGCCCGGCTGGGTGGGCAGGAAGGGAAAAGCCGGGCTCTGGGCGCACTAGGCTGCCAGCCCCCCGCCCTGCTGCATCTCCCTGGGCTCCCTGGCAGGCAGGGCTGTCCCTCCCCAGGGCTGAGCACAGCAGCTTTGTGCCCCCCCCCGGGTGTTTGCCAGCGTGGGAAAGCACCCAAAAGCGGGCACTGCCATCCCATCATGCTCCAGGGGGTTTATCCCAGCGTGAACATTTGCTTGGGAGAGGCAGAGCACCCCGTATCACCATGATGCTCAAGGCTTTGGGGCACCCCACGTACCCACAGCCCCCTGAGCTGCTCCAGCCATCATGTCACTCCCCGGGAGCTCGTGCAGAGGTGTCCAGCGCCCCTCCCAGTGCCCCCTCCCGGGGCTGGAGAAGTCCCAGCACCCACATGGAGCCTGCAGGGTCTGGCTGCAGCCCCAGGGACCAGGGTGCTGGGGGTCTCCCCTGCTGGGGTCCTCCCTTGCTACGTTTTGCTTTTAATAGCCAGCAGGTGTGAAATCTCTAAATAAAGGGAAAAGTGAAGCTCTGGCTGTTGCTGTTTTGGAGCTTCAGACCTCGTTTTGGTGGCTCTTGGGGGGCTGGTGGCTGATCCCTGCAGCTGACCCTGAGCACAAGCAGGTCCTCTGCGTCCCCTAGCCCCCCCACGGCCTCATCCTCCTCAGGGTACCCTCAGTGACCCGCCGTCCAGACGAGACACAGCCCAGGAGTTGTTCATTAGCCCCCCCCAAAGCCCTGGTGTTAATGAGCAATTTCCTAACCCCCAGGCAGGGGGTGAAGGGGGGGCTGTCCCAGGGCATGGGGGGCCCTGGGTCTCTGCACGTCCTTGTGTCCAGTCCAGGTGCTGGGCCAGCTTGTCTAGAGGGGCTTTTGCCAGGAAGGGTTGGACCAGATGATCCCTGAGGTCCCTCCCAACCTGGGATTCTCTGATAAAGTTTGCTCAGGTGGAGCTGCTTCTGCCCTCCTGGGGGGTGATGGTGAGTGCATTGGTGCCACCTGGCCCCCCAAAGCACCTGTGCTAGGTTCCCAAGCTGCACCCCCCGCAGGGTCCCCTTGGCTTTATCAGCAGCCGGGGCTGGGGGCTGGTGCCTTTTGCTGTCTGGGTGTTGCTCTCCCTGGCTGGGGGGGTTTGTGTTCCCTGGGGTTGTTCGTGTTCCCTGGGGTTGTTCTGAGGGGTGGGAGGCAGCTCCCTCTGATACCCTAGTCCCCAGGCTGGGTTGTGCCGCTGGATTAAGCTGGTCCTTGGGGTTTGTGTGGTGTTGGGAGGCCCCCGAGTGCTCTCTCTGTAGGACACTCCTTGGAGGCGTTTGCCACACTGCGCTGAGCTGGGAGGGTGCAGCGACTGCCTCGAGCCGCCTCTGCTGCGGGGAGGCTGCTCCCCTCGGAGCTGGTTTTGCCTGTAAAGGCATTTACCTGGCTTTTCCTTTCCCTGGGACTGCCCAAGCAGCTGACCGTTTTTATTCTCCGCTCAGCAGTGCTGTCCTGCCGGGGGAGGCTGTGCCTGCTGCTGTCACCGCCGGCAGAAAGCGAGCGCTGGGGTGTGCGCTGCCTGCGTGCTGCCTCCCGGCTCTGGGGGCCCCGGAGTTTGCTCCCACGGCTCCAAAGTCACGTTTCTTCCCTGTGTTTCTGCTCCAGAGCAGCTGAATGCTGTTCTCTCTGGTGTTTGCTCCCCAGGAGCTGGTTTCTGCTGCTGGCGTTGGACCCGCTGCGGAGGATGAGCATCTCCTCTAGCTCTTCCCGGTTGCTGTCGGAGGAGAGGCCTGTGGCTGCGCTGTGGGGTATGGAGCTGCACCCCCAGGGCTGCTTGGGTGGGACCTGCGGGTTGGGGGCACAGTGGGTGTGCATGGGGGGTGTTTCCCACTTTCCCGTGGTGTGGGTGCTCAGGGAAGCCTCCCTGTTGCTTTCGGCTTGCCCGAGGCTTGGGCAGGGGGGGCGCAAATGCAGAGACCGGCCGTGTCCCTGCAGGCTGCCAGCTGACCATGGGTGCCCGCAGCTGCGTGGTGAAGGAGGATGATGACTTCTTGGAGCACTTGGTCCTGCTGAGAACGGTGAGACCTGGGCTTGCCGGAGAGCTTGTGCCCCAGCAGCGGGGCCAGCTGACAGCCGGACTCCTTGCCGTGGGTCTGTGCTTGCCTCCGCAGATCTGCCTGGGGGCCGACGCCAGGGACGAGCTGCACGTGGTGGCTGTGGATTCGAAAAACACCTACGGAGAGCACAAGCCGGTGCCCATCGCGGCGCTGCGCAGCTCCGTGCTGCCCATGGTGAGGGCGGCCATGGGGCGGGAGCTTCACCCCGCCTGGGGTCGGGGGTCACTGAGCTCTGACTCTTTGCAGATCAGCCTCAAAGGTCTGGAGCTGGTCCCTCCCGTCACCTTCGTGCTCCAGTGTGGAGCGGGGCCAGTCTACCTCAGCGGGCAGCACGTCACCCGTGAGTGACACCGAGTGGGGCTGGGGCAGTGGGGGCTGGGGGCTGTGCTGGGGGCGCTCTGGGGTCCCGCGGTGGCTTTAGTGGTGGCTTGTGCCCTCAGCAGGGCAGTTTTGTCCCAGGGAGGGGGGATTGCTGGGCTGTGGGGGGATCGGCGCTCGTATGCGTTCATGGGCTCGACGCGGGGCTCGGTGCCAGCTCTGCTGCCACAGGGAGGGACGTGCCTGTATTCCCGGGGGTGGGGGGATCGCGGGCCCTGCTTGTGGCTGGGGGGG